AGAAGTCCATTACATCTATCTATGTTCTAAATCCCACCCCGTTTGGTTGAAAACCAAGGGAGTTATAGCTGTTCAAAGTTTCACCAATCAGATTGCAGCGCACATACATGCACGTGTATGCATGTGCATGGTGACCACACCTTCTTGTAGAAGTCTATTATATCTATCCATGTTCCAAATCCCATCATGTTTGGTTGAAAACCAAGGGAGTTGAAGCTATTTAAAGCATAAGCCGATCAGATTGCAGCGCACGTGCATGCACGCGTTTTCATGATAATTGCTATATATCTTATTGTAGGATATCCTAATACATGCCCATGTTTAAAATTTCAAAGGATTTCGTCAAACAACAAGAAAGATATTGAGACTTTAGTTTCAGCCAATCAGAGCGAAGCGCACGTGCATGCGCGTGGGATCTTGCTTTTTTGACCATGTCCTCTTGTCTATGCTTCTAATATACTTCTAATAGTAGTTTTAAAGCATATCATCGATAATTTAAATAGTTACGTCTGTATCAATTATATTGGACATTTCTCGTGTTGCACGTGCGAGCTCTTGCAAGCACACGTGCATGCACATGCTTTCATGACATTTCTTTTGTTACGGGCTGTAGATCTCCCTAATGTATGACTATGTTCAAAATTTCAAATGATTTTATCAAAAAACAAGAAAGATATTGAGACTTTAGTTTCAGCCAATCAGAGCGAAGCGCACGTGTTTGCACATGCGATCTTGCTATTTTGACCATGCCATCTTGTGCGTACTACTCATATATCCTTACATTATGATTTTCAAAACATTTCATCTAAAATAGAAAAGTTACGGTTATATCCATTATATATTGGTCATTTCAAGTTTTGCACGTGCGCGCTCTTGCAAGCACGTGCGCGCAAAATGACCTTGATTCCGCAAATCTACATAACATGCCTACTTACCCTAAAAAGGTTTCACCTAAGTCGAATGTGTAGTTTACAAGATCACTCGCGGACAAAATTTTCCCAGGAAGAAAAATAATAAGAACTAGAATCTTGTTGCCATGGCAACAAATAAGTCTTCCGTTCTTCTAAATCTGTAAGAATTTGCTTTTTTCTCTGCAAAAAACATATTTATCATATGTACTCTGAAAGAAAAAAAACTGCAAAAAGGTCTTTCAGTACTTAAGGTACTTTGATTTTCATGACCAATCTTGTTCTTATGTATTTTGGCACTCATAAGAGCTACACGTGTATCATAGACAAAACAACGGACGAACGAACACTGTACTCTCATAAACTTCACTGTGTTTATGTTCTGGCACAATTGTGATGGTGTTATAAAAATGTCATGAACTAAGTTAGTACCACATTAAACGTAAAGTCGTTGATTTTTACAGTAATACTATCGAGATTTGTCAGCAGAAAGATTATTCAACTACAGGAATTATTCAGCAATCGATTAATTGATTATATGTTGTTTAATGTCCCTCTCGAGAATTTTTCACATGGAGAAGCCTCCACTCGCCGGTGGAGACTGCAAAATGTTGTCCTGTAACTTGGCTCTAATCGCCATTGAGCAGTGAGGAATCTTTTTAAGTCAGTATCATCTGACACACGGGACCTCGATTTAAACGATCTCATCTGACGGACCGGTCTCCACGTCCCAAAACGGAAGTCCATAATACAGATATATGATGCTCTAGCCATGTTTTTATTTTATTTTTCATTTCTCAAATTTGTTGCATCAGATTTTCTTAAAGATCATACTTAAAAAAATCATTTCGAACAACTTTATTGCAATGCATACAGCGTCCGGTGATTTTGATTGACAGGTCAATACATGTGCACTTAGTGTAATACTTCTTAAGCAGAAAAAATATACAGAGAGTGACTATGACGGACTATGAAATCAGAAAATATTTAATAAAGAATGGGTACAACTGATATAGAACTGATTTTTTGTCTCTCTCTCTCTCTCTCTCTCTCTCTCTCTCTCTCTCTCTCTCTCTCTCTCAGACATGTATATTTCAGTATCTTGCGTAATGAAAAATCTACTATTATAGAATATGAATTCTGTATACATGTTAATGTATACAAATGTTCCAGATTTAATTGTATAACGAATTTATAATTCAAAGGCCTATAGTTGCAATAATGTCTCCGAATAAAATTAAGAGGGGGGGGGGGGCTTCAAAAGAATTACATACTCGGTAATTTTATGTTTTATGAATTAAAAGGAAAATACTTAAGGTTGCATGTACAAACATATAATTATATAGCATTGCATAAAATTGTGTTCATTCGTATACTTTATCTAACATATCAACAGACCTTTGCAGATGTTTTTGTATCATGCTTTTAGCGTAGCATTATTTCACACAGAAAAGCGTAACTTTCACATAATGTTAACCCTTTGAGTACTAGTATTTCACAAAAATCCAAGAATCGCTTTTTCTCATCTTCAATAACTTCTCGGGTATATAAAAGTATAGATCATGTATAATAAATAACACTATCGGACATTTAATCAATGAAATATACGTGTTAAAACCAAATCCAATCTATAGATTGATTTTCTTTCTTTTAAGTTGCAGATATCAATTTATTTCTAAAGGCTTTACACCTACTCTTCTATATCTCAGTTCCCTTTTGTACATAAAATATTTCAGAATCGAAAATAAAACTAGGATTCCGGGATAATTTCGCATTCAAATTAGAGAATGAATTAAGAATATTTTTTTAAATATAATCATAACAGACATTACAGATTTACACTACGCTGACAACTTTAAACTATGCATATACTGAAAGCAGTAACCAACGTAATCTTTCATTCAGAAGTGGATATGGATACTCAAAGTCTAAATATTTTTTTTATGTGAAAAGTGTGGATATAGACGTCTTCGACGTCATGGATACTACCTCCGCCTTTATCTCGAAAGTTCTATTCCCACTTACAAGTCAGAGTTATCTATCTTTGCTCATTGTCACTACGTAAATAGAGAAAATGAATTTATTGACGGAACCTTAATTCTCCAAAATGCAGAATCCGATTGAATAAATAATATGTTTAGTATATTTGTAGAACAATTTGTATATACATCGGTGTAATGTATACTGCGTACAATATTATTTTCTTCAAAGTGCTTAGTTGACACAGAACGGATATGTTTTTAGATATAAATCTGTAAATCAAAAACTTTCAATATACAGACTAACACTACACAGTTAACTTTAAACTAATATGCATAAAGTGAATTAAGTAACATGCAAAAGAGAGAATATTGAATGTGTAAATATGTTGATATGGAGCTCGTATATATATGTCTCTAACGTCATCAATACTATTTCCGCCTTTATCTCGAAAGTTCTATTCTCATTCACAGATCAGAGTTTTCTTTCTTTTCCCACCTTATACATACTACGTAAATAGAAAAAATTCGGTACCGAAAATATACAAAATGCGGAATCTGATTTAAAAACAAATTATATATTTAGTACTTGTAGAAAAATGTCTGTTTTACAAAAGAATATCTCGAAAAAATATCTAAAAACAAAAAAATCAAAAATTGACCAAAAACAAATTCACTTCCGGTTCGGACAGGAAGTACTGGAAACACACCAAAACAACTTCAAAACAAATAGAATATCATGATCTAATACTCCTGTAAATTTCATATCTTTACCTCAAACCGTTTCCGAGAAAACTCCCGGACAAAAGTCCATTTTAAAATTCGAAAATCGGCCATAACTTCGGACCGGAAGTAATTTTTTCAAAAACCGGAATTTTATATAAACTTCATATATCGACCTACTCACATGAGAAAAATTGTGAAAATCTATCCCGCCATCTCTGAGTAATCGCGCTCACAAAATTTGGGAGGAATAATAATAATAAAAAGAAACAATACAAACACTATAAGTCTTCCGTTGTGAACGGAAGACTTAATAATAATAACTAGTGCTAATTGTAACGGGAACCGTTACAGATGTTCCCCAAACGCTCCCCAACTCCCTTCTCGTGCCATATTCCCTGTAAGTTTCATTAAAGAAGGCAAAATCTATGCATTTAAGACGTAAACAACGTTTTCCCAAAAGTATACCAAGTATTTCAAATTTAAGCAATGCAGGCATGCGCATGTGATTGCATGAGCGTAATGACGATATCATCTTGTCTACACTATTTTACTCATTTGCACGTGCACGCACGTGCATGATGACCATACCTTCTTATAGGAGTCCATTATGTCTGTCTATGTTCTGAATCCCATTCTGTTTGGTTGAAAAACAAGGGAGTTATAGCCATTTAAAGTTTAAGCCAATCAGATTGCAGCGCACGTGCATCTGTACATGTGCTGCAATCTGATTGGCTGAAACTTTAAACAACTATAACTCCCTTAGTTTTCACCCAAACGGGGTGGAATTTAGAACATAGATAGATGTAATGGACTTCTACAAGAAGGTATGGTCACCATGCTCATGTATGCACGTGCGTGCACGTGAAATGAGTAAACTCAAATATACACTTGAATGAGCGTATTTTCTAAATAATTTTGGATTTAATACTTTAATATTCAGTGTATTAAAAATATAGATTGTGTAGACAGGATGATATGGTCATGACGCAAATGCATTCACATGTTCACGCGTGCAATGCTAAAGTTTAAATAATTCTTTGTAAATGTTAAAATCTCAGATGCATAGAGTTTGTCTTATTTAATGAAGCTTACAGGGAATATGACACCAAAAGGGAGTTGGGGAGCGTTTGGGGAACATCTGTAACGGTCCCCGTTACAATTAGCACTAGTTCTTTCTGTTGTATAGCATTTTATACGGATTGAAACTCAATTATACCCAGTAAAGGATTCATTCAAGACCTTTTGTATTCTAATGACAACATTATCATTTTTTTTTTCAATTTGTTAACATCCCAAAAGGGCAATGAACCAACTCAAACAGAACCAAAAATTTCTCTCAATATTGTACGACATTGATGGAAAAAAATCTGGTGACGGAAGAAGCAAAAACAGTTTTCAGTTGCAATTTATTTATTACAATGAATAAACACCGGCTTTCCACATTATTTGTCTTCAGTTTGCTCTATCATTTCCTCCATCTAAAGAAAAAAATGTTAAAAGGAATAAAAATCATTTCAAAATGGAATTGAATATGTTATTAGTAGTAGAAAATTAATATGATTAACTTACTCGCTTAAAGCGTTGCATGGGTGCAAAGTCCTCGAGCTCATTCACAGACTGAAATTCAATCCATAAAAAAGGAAATCGGTAAAAGTCATTTTTCCCGTTTTTAGTGGGATTACATGAAAATGAATTAATCTAAAGAAAAAAGACTTAATCGCTTTACACTCCTATGAAGGCAATATGATTTAAACAGATCTGAAAAAAAAAATCTAGAACAAAATTGAGAATCGAGTACTACAGTATTTCAAACTTTTCACAGTGTATCACTGTGGTACATCAATTTCTTCATACTTATTACTGTAGGTTGTTTTTGTTTTTATGTTGTTTAATGTTATGTTAATGCTATTTAAGAAATTTTCACTCATATGTAGAGCCACCGGTTGCCAGTGGAAAACTGCAAATTTTGCCATATGCTCGGTACTTACGGTCGTTGAGAAATGAGGTATCTTTGTCGTGCCAGCAGCTACTGCAACACAGGACCTCGGTTTATCCGAAGGACCGGTCTCCAAGTCCCGCATTGGGAATCGAACCCGCGACGTTAAGGTCAAACCATTACTATGCGAGTCAAGAGCAGACGCTCTAACCTCTCAGTCACACTGTCGACTATCACTATGGTTAATCAAAGTTAATCAAAATTATAGCTACAGTTAACGAAATTTTTCATACAATCAAAGTATTCACTAAACCTAGCTAATTTGAAGTGTGTATTAACTATAGTTTACTGTAATTTTTTTTGTTAGGGACGCGTCATCATTAATTTAGAAGATGACATGTCCTTAATTCACACAAGCAAAATAAATCAAAATATTCGTATATTTTTTGTTCTCTCCTTTAAAAAGTTGATCTATTCATTTTGAGAAAAAAAAAATCTTCTATTTCAGATTCTAGTATCTTGTGATTTTCTTTTCGTCTTTTGCTAAAAGCTTTAGTGCAAGTGAACAAAACAAATCTTATGAAGATAATTTCTTATATATTGAGGATAAACAATAGTAATTAAAGCTATAAAATTCGACAGAACTCCCCCTCCTTCGCCCGAATAACCTAACTTGTTATAATAATTTCTAATTGAACTATCTAATAAAGATATTTTCAAATTCATCATTATTTTCCTGAGATTTCTTCTGTGATGACTATGATTCTTTTATACGATACACTAGTTTCAGTTTACATGAATTTTGTGGTTACAGAAACTTATTTTCTACTATTTTAGAATTGTTATGAAAAAAAAAAATAACTTGCCATGTCCCTAGTACATCGACATCTCCACCAACGACATGAACAACTCATAGTTTTCTTTGCAGCTTTGCTCTCTCCTTCTTGAAATGAACAAATAAGCAACAGAAGAACCAAAAACAGAATAGGCTTCATCTAAATGTGTCATAGAAAAATAATGTAATCTTAAAATACATGTACATGGAGGCAACGTATACTTACATGTAAAAAAAATCATTTAATTGGAGACATACCTTCTTCCACTAGTACAGTCGCTAATAAAAATAATAGCATAAAACGTAAAACTACGGGATTGTCACCGTTTTTATAAAATGTGCTTGTAACATATACTTGTTATGCTGATATGTATTAAATGTCCCTTTTTACTCTTAAATATCATCGAGGTAACATGTGACATATCATCCAATGACTTCCATACACAGCATGTCTTCTACATTTTTATTTCAAGTTTCGTATTTTATCTGCATACGCTGATGCAGGAAAGCAGGAAAGCAATCTGTACAAAATAGTAACAGTTGTTTAACAATATTACATGTATATCCCTTAAAAGCTGTTTCTAATGTGGTCGAAAAATACAAGTTTCGTCATCCGAAGCTTCAAAATATCTTATATTACATATTATAGAATTTGTACCAGCAGCTTCACGAGGAAACCGACCGCTGCTCTTTAATCTATCTATTTATTTCTGCAAACATATTCCATTTCCTTATAAGTTTTAAAAATGTTTTCTTCTATAGTTCCAACATTTTATTTTAAATCCCAGGAAATGAAAATCTAATTTCGATGAAGTATTCAAATCTTTTGTGTTCTAAATAATTATGTAGTCATTATATCTGATGGCTTCAAAATGAATTACCATCATGAATTAATCATCATATCACATGCAGCTGTTTTTTCAATAAAAATGATCTCGAAAAAGTCATTGGGCATTAAAAAAGTATTTTGTTAAAATTGCATTCATTTTGGTTGTACACACAAGTACTCTTGTGTAAAAAAGATATACCGAAGTAGGATTATAAAAAAAAGACGCTTGAATTTCTAATTGATAATACCTATGTGGAGACCAGACCCAAAGACCGTAAACTGAGAACAGACTTAAGTAAAATTTTTAAATCAATATAACTATGGGAATAATTCTGACAACAGAACAAAGTTTTTACCTGATGTAGATATCGGAGTGTCATACAAACCTGTATTTTTTAAGATAATTTATTTATTATAAATGACAAGATACTATTATTCAATATCAAAATTTTGAATTAAGTCTGTTCTCACTTTATGTTTTCCAGCCAGGCCTTCCAACAACGGAAGTGGGTTAAAGCTAAATATGGGGATTTCTATGCAAATGAGCTAATAAAAATGCATGAATTGTATATTTTAAATACAAAGAAAGTACAAATTGATTTCCGTATTTATACATGTACTTAGTACCAACAGCATATTATAGCTAGTACACGTTATGACGTCAATCTGATGACGTCATTTTTCTTTCCCATTCAAGGTAATAAAACACACCAACAAAATAACATCGGCGCAAGAGCATATCCTATTTAATTTAAAATAAATAATCTATAATATTAAGGAGAATTTTCTAAAGACTAATCAAATTGCTGAACAAATTCTATGCACTTTCTGAATTGATAAAAAAAAAATTAAGAAACGTACACTGAACTAGCTTCATGGTCACACATCAAACGCTTTCATGTAACAGCCTTGTATACACGCGGTTTAAAATAAAACAATATATTTGTAATTTTATTTTAAAAAATAATTAAGAGTTGAAAATTATAATATTGACACCAGAAACGATTTCTCTTCAATTTTTAAAGGCTGTGTGTTAATTGTATGCGTTATGTCATCCACGATATCTGTAGTTAAAAGACCGATTTCTATTTGCTGTAATAAGAAGTCCAGTGATTAAAATTATTTTTTTTAAATGGGAAAAGATATTCAGCACTAACGGCATGGGTTACAAAAGATTTGTATCTTTGTAAATGGCTATAATCTAAACAATTTTGTAAATAAATTTATGTCAGAACTAATGCACAAATTTCCAAACCGGTCACGGTCCTAAGCGTAGTGGTAGAGCCTTCGCTTCATGAACGGGAGGCCCGTGTTCGATTCTCGTTCGCGGCGCCGCGTCATACCTAAGACGAAAACAAAGACGTAAACAAAGGTAGTGACTGTTCCTTCGCCAAGCGCTCGGCACTAGAAGTGAAAGTCATGGGTCTTTCGGATATGACCTTAAAAACGTAGGTCCCGTGTCGCGGTAGGCGTTGGCACGAAAAAGAACCCTCACTGCTCAATGGCGCTGAGTGCCGAGTATAGGTATATATTTGCAGCCCTTCACATGCATACAGTGACGTCTCCATATGAGTAAAAAATTCTCGAGAGGCACGTTAAGCAATATACAATCAATCAAATTTCCTATAACGTCTGTCTATATTCGTAATGCAAAGCCAAAGGTGAACATAACTAAAACTGATCGATACTATAAAGAAACCTTTCGATCAATAAAATTTTGTTAACATACGATCAATCGGAAATACATGTATTGAATATTATAGACAACTTTGTCCAGAAGTAAAAATTTTCTGATAGCGGTAAATGTTCACCTGTTCACACCACGGACAAATGGAACATTTTTTTCTTTTAAATATTCATACCATAGACTTAAATTGTTTACACTTATTTAATCAAGGCGATGTCTTTTGTTGAAGATTAAACAAAATATAAATATGATTGCTTTGTAGTTTTTGCTCGTGATTTTTTCTTTAATTAATTAACCACAACATTTTATTAAATCGATGTAATGTCATCTTTATATTTTTTCTTCTAGAAAATTACGATTAATGCGTTTAGTTTACAAATAAATTTTAGATTGAAACAATAAAATTATTTAATATAGTTTCACTCAAAATAAGACACAAAGCACATAATGTTGACCCTGATTTTAAAACATGGACTTCCTGTGTAATGCTACATGTTTATAGATTTTTGACATCTTGAGTATTGGGGGTCTCCAGGTAAATGACACCACTGTTACCTAGACCACTCCTCTCATCAGGTAACCGTACGGTAAACAAATTTGATCTTTAAGAAGTCCTTTCCATGGACGCTCATATTTCACAGGGATATAATTTGTTAAAAGCTCTTTCTTTGGATACCAACAGATTGACCTTTTGACTTCACCTTGGAGTTTTGTCGTCTTTTGAGAAATTAAATATAGACCACAGTCTTTGAGCAGTTGGTTCCATGAATTTGTATTTCACATTATTATTTCTTATTACAATGCCTTTCCCATTGATTTTGAATCTTAGATCTTGACCTTGAAGTTTTACCCAAATTTTAAAAAAGATCTAATCTTGAATGGCTTGGTGCTTGTGTTGTCACATTTCAAAGATGTATTCATTAAGACAAATATTTTAAATTCATTTGGTTACAATTTTTTTTACATCTCTTGACATTGAAGTTTGACTTGCAGTTGAGGAAAACCTTTTGCCACAAGCTGCCATACGGGGACATCAGAGTTTCTTAAACACATTTTGTTTATCATGTATATATCTTGAAATTATATTCAAAGGTCTAGATAAAAGTCGGTCTTGGCCCGTTTTAAAAGTTTTCTTTTTTCAATTGCTAGTATATTTTATTTTCATTTAAATGTCAAAGGATTCCAGATTTTTTTCTGTACCTTAATTTTTTTTTTTAGAAAGAATCAAGTACAATGTTATTACAGAAATTTATTTTTTTTTCTCAATTTTCTTTCCACGTCAGGAATATTATGTCGATCTTATTCATCTGATGCATCATCAGCCATTTCATCCA